CTAGTATTATATATTTTTTGTGTTCTAGTTTAGTAGCAAGTAAGGTTTGTCATTTGTAAACTAAAAATAAAATAAAAAACCTTTTAACACAGATAGATGTGTATGGTTTAATTTCTCTTTTCATAATAACATTATTTTTACGTTAAATTAGGTACAGGGCGCAGATGTGCCGTTAGAATTTACAATGTGCTTTATTGCATTGAAGAAGGGAAATAACATAAAAATTAATTAATTAGAAACATAATATGATGTAGGTATCCTTGAAGAGGAGTTTTCGCTGAATCGCTGGGCGTTAACTGTGTAAAACGTACCGGGATGGGTAAAAATAATATATAGGGGTTACATATCTATGTAGACTGTGCAATGCTATTCCTATGTGTTTAGGGGTTCGGTACGTACTGTTTAAATTGTGATTATATATGTGTGTATACGTACATTCATCAATATATTATAATATGAACGAACAGCTTTAATATGACAATTATGCGATTTTGGCTTTATAATCATTGGTTTCCTACGGTATATAGTGGTCGATTGAAGGCTATTCGTTTGTGGAGGACGCTATAATCAAACTGCGTTACATTTTGTTTCTTTTGTATATAATCCGCTCACCCTCTTCGTATTAATAATACAATATTATGTTAAAGCTGAATACAGCAATTATGACTTACTGATTATTGGCGATATAACATTTTTTTAAAAAATATTTATTAGCATTTTATTTGCAACATGTCCCTCGCTGTTCTGAACGCAGGTTAAGTGAAATAAATTGAACACAAAATATGTAAATCTATTATATGTACATATTATATTGGTATATTTACAAACGGACGAAAATAATTTAATCGTCGAGGTCTTTATTTACGGATTCAAAATGAAATTCGGTTAACAAAATTTTCGAAGCTGCGTATTTGCATTTAGTTTCTAATTAAATTAAACTCACAACGGCGTCAGCGTATTTTTATTCGAAATCGTTGACAAAACTTTTTCGATGAGGTTACATTTTTTTCACAGACATTACGGCAAAACTTCCGAGCGATAAACCATACAAAATCCTGGAGATCCAATCAGTGGCTGATGCAGTTAGGTTATTCGGTAGGGAGAGGGAATGTTGAGCATTTTCAGTAACTTAAATTACTTAGCAACATTGGCGTAGTTAATTTTTTTTATAATTACAATAGAAAATGGCGATCACTTCCCCTTAACTCCAATCAAATTTAACTTGAGTCTTTCGTGGTAATTTTTTAACGCGAGTATAATTTAAAAGTTTTTGTTAACTGTTACACCAATAAACCCCAATATATATCTACCGTACAATATGGCTAAAGGGATATGAAGTTGCCGCAGTCACTAAATGCGGATTATGGAAATGGCCATTTGGACAAACATTGTCCCAGATGGACTGTAATAAATTACAAATTACATTTGTGCGCCTAAAGCTAATATTTTATTTGAGTTATACTGGTTATAAGTTTGCATCATCAGCGGTATTTCATAACCTAACTTAACCGATTATCTATAGTAAAGCTACGTATTTCTGACATCGAGGAACAATATTATCGAAAGAACATTGTCAATTGTTTTGGTTTTCTATAAGATTACAAAGTAGCCAATAGGAGGATATCTTCGTTTAAAATCTAAAATGTTCAATCATTATTTATCATTTGTAGATGCGCAAATAACTTTATTAAAAAAGTCTTTAAGTGTGAAAAAAAAACTGGTCTTAAGCCAGGGCTATTGGGCATTGACTTAAATAAAAATACCTAGGTTTTCGGTTAGTATACAACGAATTTTAACCCAAGCAGCAGTAAATGAAAAGCTGGAAGAGGCATAGTAAGCTGAGTACACAAGACTCTTTATTCAAAAACAATTGGTGTAAAGAATAATAATAAATATAATTGTAAAGAAGAATACAATAAGTATACTTTTAGAATTGAAAGAAAATATTTGTAAGTATTAAAAACGATCACGATAAAGTGATATGCTTTGTTGTAATAATAAAATGTGTTTTAGTTTTATAGTGGTTAAAATGATAAAAATATAATTTTATTGACTAACGACTTTTTTGTTTTATACCAAGCTTTACCTGGTAAAAGCAATAAATAACTTAGCGTTTTCTGTATAATGTTTATATTTAAATTGTTGACACATTTGCACTCCCCATGGTCTTAGAGACCTCCCTAAAATGAAATGCAGAATTTGCTTGATGTTTATAAAAAGACATAAGAATTCAGTTTTTTTAATAATAATTCCAACGTTGATTTATTATACATTTCACCGAAATAATTGAGGTGCCATTAAAAGTAAAAGGGTAAATAAGTATACCTCTCTGTCCTCTATCTTCTTCACGGTCAAATGCACATTTTGAAAAATTGTTCAAGACCATTTAACTAAAGAAATATGAATTGTACACAATATTTTAGTTAAAAATAATAAAAACGCATCCTTTGGCTTACAATCACATACAGAAAGTTGTACTGTTCTTTAATCCGCTAAAAAAACATAAACTACAAAATTTGCCAACCCCTGTGAAGGAGGAAATTTAGTAAAACTTAGATTTCAGGCCATTATCAGATAGTGGCATGCCTAATAATTAATACTTTTTATAAAGTTCTAATCATTCTGATCATTTTTCGCTAAGTTATAGCAAATGGGTTGACAATAGAAAAAAGACATCATTGTAAAATTAAAACCTTTTTAGCTTAGCATAGGAGCTAAACTCTCTAATATATTATTTCTTAAAAAAATATTTAATTATGTAATATATTATAAGAATTAATTGAATTTAATGTCTGCAATGAATTAACAACGTAGCTTATTAGAACAGATAAAAAATGTTTCTATACATCAAAGCTGTTAAATTGCATAAGTGGAGTGCCGTAAAATCCATTATATGTCAACCGATAAATAACGGTTAGGTACCGATTCAATATATTATTATAGGCTTTTGGTGTTATTGCTTGTTGCCATAATAAATGTACAATACATAAATTTATCTCTAATTCCATACTTGTCTACAGTTTTTATTGTATCTATATGTTATAGTAATGACATAAATTTGAATATAAACGTTAGTATTTGAAAACAAAGCTTATATGTAATATACATTTCAACTACCGAGGGAAGATAAACATTACAAAATGGCGAATAGATCCAATATCAATATCAAGTTACTCATTTTAGTCTCTTTAAAATTGTAAAAAACACTAAGCTGTATTTATTAGCAATAATGTTTTTAAAAGGAAAACATGTCAATTTTAGTTATGAAGATAATTTTTCAATTTATATTTTCAAAACTTTTTCCATTAGATAATATTTTTGATGCTTTTTTCTTTAATCTTGCTAACTTTTAATGCAAACAATATTTTGGTTGTTATAAATCCCATTAAACGAAAATCGAGAAGTATAACAAATAACACACACTTTTAAAGATCGACTTCCGAACAAAATTATAGATACAAGATATATAAAACAAATACACAAGAAATAAGTTCTGTGGTTTAAACGATATTGCGGGTCCAGATAGAAATATAAAATAACTTGCATTTATGTCGGTTTACAAGGTAGACAGTTTAAAAAATTAGTACAAATTAATAAGGTAAAACTTGATATATTGTTGAATTTTCTTTGATAAATTGTCATGCTAAATTTTGTTTTTAAATATTTTTTAACAATAAGTCGAGTATTTGCGAAAACCAATTATAAATTCAAAGAAAGCACTCACAAAAATAACATCACAAAGGTTTGAAATTTAACAAACCTCAGTAGAACGAGTTAAACGATTTCAAAAAGTTTTTGACGTTACCCAAAACGCGGATTATCTAAATACATTCTAAAAACTTTTACTCGAGGAATAGTTAAATGTAACCGATGTTAAAATGCTACAGCCAGCTCAAATTATTATGTCCAAAGTACATTCCAGAGTATATAAAGATTCTTTAAGTTAACGAAACGATTAACTTTGAATGTTAAAATTCTTTTCTTTAACATAAAAAGCATATTGCAAATAAAGGCTATTAAAAAAAAAAAAAAAAAAAACATAAAGAGAAATTGTTAAAATCATAAATGTAAATTCATTTTTTGGAACAACTTAACACGGGTTTTGCACATAATTACATAACATCCACTTCCAAAGACTTAATGTCAAGTTTTGAATTTGTAAATTGAAACAATTTGTTCTGTTTGTTTAAATAGAACAAATTGTATATTAAACACTTTTTGTGTTTTATTTTTTTTTTTGTAAGCGTTAACGTTAAAAATGTTCATTTAACCTTCATTTGTTTGTGTACGAATTGTAATTAGTACACAATTAGTAAATTTGTAATTTTTGGCGAGTGGGCTAAAAGTTTTAATTTTCCTTTCGGTTCCGAGCGTGTTTTTTTTTTGTACACGACAGTAAAGGTATTTTAATTTACACTTCAAACGGGGTCTAATCGGTTTTGGCCGACCATACATGCTTTGGCCCTTTTAGACCCAAAGTATAGCTGTTATATAATGTACAATAGGGTGGTCCTTATATTGTTTTTTGAGAAATACCACGTTGGGTACCTAAATAGGAAACAAACAGCTTCAAATGTTTCCAGATTTTTATTTCATCCCCCGATGGCATGTCACATTTAAAATTATCTAGAAAAATATACAATTTTACACAAGTTTCAAATTAAGCTTACTACCAGTATAACTTGATTAAAAAACAAATAAATACTTGTCGCATATGTATAGTCAATTGGAGATTCGTGTGTGATTTCAGTGACAAAAATGCTAAACGCCTAAGAGTTATCCTAGTAGTGTACTCGATCGAAAACTTATGCATATTAGTATATTTTCCTATTACGAGCTTGATGTGAAAACAGGAAGACGCGGGGGATGAAACAAAACTGTGAACAAATTAGGGAAACATATTTTCAACATTTTTTCTGCCATATCCAATTGAGGAACACCCTAATGTACCATAATATGTAATACGTTTTAATGAAAACCTACAAGCGTTAGTGGTATACCTTTTTTCGACTTTTTTGAGTTTAACATTATGCCGGGACAGTAACTTCTCGTTGACCATGTCCATGGCCAGGTCGACGGCGGGCCCGCATCGTTCCAGGTCGAACGGCGAGTCCAGTCTGGACGTCATTAGCACTCCCACCTTATACTCGATGACGGGTTCCGGGGCCGCTGCCACGACCAGCAGCAGCAGCAGCAGTAACCACGCGGACACGGCCCATCCTGTCGTCAGCACCATGTTACGACAACGACGACGCCGACAGAATCACACTGCCATTTCGACGGCGCCGACCACCGACCCGTTGGAAACGCGAGCGCGGCCGCGCATGGCCACTGTGGCCACGGCACGCACACACACACACATACATATGTTGCACTCGCCACTGACACCTGTACGTCAAGCGCCATCACCTTAAACGTCATCAACAAGTGCTGGTTGAACTTGGCGCGCGCATAACCGTGGCGGATAGTTGGTGACCGAATTCGTTGTAATCTATAAAAAAAAACACACACAAATTTATAAATTTTATAAAATCATGCTGCTTAAATCGAAATTATGCGTGCTTAAAATTATAGTAATTTCAGTAACAGTGTGAGTGGTACGATTAGGGAGGGTGGACTCTCTTTTTAGCCAGGTAACAGTCTAGGGAGACAGACTACCATCCTCCTTGTAGGCGACCGACCTTACACCTTAACCCTACTCCAGTCAACATAAGCCATACGCCGCAATATTAACGATGAGCGATTAGGGTTGATCGTTTATCGATGATATAACAAAAATGTTAATACATTCACATAATAGGGTCATTTTATACGGCACGTGTGATATTTTATTTTTATTTGTTTTTTTTTTTTTGTAATAAAAAAAGTTTGACTACAGGCGTTTGAGAAAATTGTTATAACCCCGTTCTCGATTTACCTTTAATCTAATTTTCAGATATTGAATCATAAAACTACGCCCAACAAAGTGAAATGAAGAAAAAGTTTTTAGGGAAAGGTGGTTTTTGATATTTTTTTAATTTGTCGAGGTATATCGCTAGTACTCTATCCAAAAAAACATTCCAGACAATATTGGAACTTAAACGACAATTTCTGATCTTTATACGTGCTACATGAAAAATCGGTTTAGAAGATATCGTGGATCCATATACAAAAATATAATAATACATCACAAATCGTAAATCAGATTTTTTTTTTAATTTTTATTTATTTGAAACTTTGTAACTAACAATTTGCTTCAACGAACACCGAAAGAGTTATTACTTATTAAGTTGAAAGGATTTACCTCTTGCTCTTTAAAATCAAGAATTTTTTTAATTAACAAAATATGTAGTGTTAAGCAACGTTTATGATTAATTAATAAATCAAATAAATATTAGATTTTAGGTAAACTAATGTAATTCGTTATTGACTATTTGGATGATTAATTTAGGTATTACTAATATATCATTGTATGCAATATGAGATAATAAATTTGATGAACTTTGTAATAATTGTATCACTAATATTTAATTACTAACTAAGAAAGTGTAATTACCAAGAGAACTTTACCTCTACGATTACATAAAAAGTGAAAATTCTGTATATTTTTTTATTTACTACATATTCCCTATTATAAAGAATAAAATACTGTACTATCTCACTGGATATTACTAAAAAAAGTAACAGACAATTATCTCTAAATACGCAAATAATAATATTTTGTTTTACTGTCACAAGTTATATCGTTGTTAGTAAAAAAAAAATATATCACAGAAACAAAAATGTCCGTGCTTTGCTTAAAATTAAAAATAAAAATATATTTACTGTTTAAGCACAGTACATTTGTTTTACATTAAGTAATCTTAACATAAATATAATAGTCGTGGACCCTCCTGAACTATTAATTGTACTTTGTATTTAATAGGGTCTAATGCGTTTAGACTTGACCTAATTATTTATAAACTACTTAAAACTTTTACGAGCTAATTGTGTTTTAAAAGTTGTTTTTTTATTTAAAAAAATAAAATAAAACTATACTTTTGGATATAATGGAATTAGAAATACTTCCGCAGGGTGTACTGTACCTTTATTTTACTCTATACGCCAATAAACAATATGCAAATCGCCAAGTTTAAAGTATGCAGTATGCTACACTAATATATAATTAATGCGTATGTAACTATGCTATTAAAATAATCAATATGTCTGTATATTTTCAGACGAAAAATATAAATTTTTCAAAATATCGAAAACACGTTTTAAAAATATTTTTATATTAGAACATTTGAATTATATTTTTACTAGGTAAATTTAAATTTTATAATTTTTTGTTACATTTATTAAAATAAATAAAACAAACATAGACAGTAAAATAATTTTGTACTGTTTTAATTAAACAATTTTACTAAAGTAATAAGTATAATAAACAGGACAAATAAGTCAGCTTGTTTATTTTCTGGTTTTAATCGTTATTCATGGTACTTTTAAAACGTCAGTTGTTCGAGTAGATAGTAATGAAGACAAATGTGAAGACTAATCGACAAGATTATTTAATATATTAAGTAATTACGAGGAAAAAACGATAGTATCCTCAAATGCCTAAGACCGATAAATTATAAATAGTAATTTATTAAACCTTTGATAAACAACGCTATTGAAAGAAGTAGTAAATCTTAATTAAGTTTAGCTGTAAAAAAGTATGCAAAAATAAAAGATAAAAAATGTAGATATTTGCCCGTGGATAATAATACTGTACTGCAGACGGTATTTTTAAAAATTAAATTATGGCAAACGATCTGTATGGAATAAACTTTTTTTTGTCTAACTTTTCACTTGAAGGTCTTATTAATACGCTTGAAAATAAAAATATATTACTTTTCACTAACCAATGTAGGGTTTTATTTAAATTAAAATCTACCTTTAGTTTAATAAAAAAAATGTTTTCAACAAAAACAAATACATCTTTTATAACGCAATATCATCATTCAAAATAGAAACTTATATAATTAATTCATTTTCGATTTTTAAAGGGAGATAATTTTTAACTTTCGATTAAAACAACAATATGTTACTAATCAAAAAAAGAAATCTATCAAGTAGATAGTATTATTTTGAACAAATGAGTAGTTTACTTTGTCGAGCATTATAAAAAAAAAAGTTTCTTTAAGCTTTCGCATTTGTTTGTGTTTTTTGGGGTTTTTATATGCATACTTAGGCAGTGGTACTTTCACGTTTTGTATGGTATCTAATTTTATGATTTAATCGTCACAATCAAAGGGTTTTATAATTTGCTCATAGACAACATATGTACGTATATTGTTCATTGCCGGTGTGCGATTATTGTTGGTGCTTTCTATATTGTAATTATGCATTAAAACGACCACATTTTGCACGAGATGATTTCGAAATATGGTGACATTGGATTTTTGGGCGGCTCCATTCACTTTTGCCTTCGACCTAAATAGAACACTCAGATTTTCGGATCAATTAAATGGGCGATTCAGCAAAAGAGTCAACAGTTTGCTTTTTAATTCCGACGGTAGGTACAATATCTTATAGTAAGTAATTATAATGGATGAACAATAGTAAGGCGCGAAAAATATAATGTCCAATTTATGAAACAATGAAGATCTAACGATAAAAAATATATATATATATATTTTTGAAATTCACCAGAGAAAATACTACTTACAGTTTTTAAAACAATACTCGAAATTAACTAATAATGACTTAATAGAACTTTTTTTTCATCAATGAAGGCGCATCTATAAGCTACAAATATATTATTATTTATGTCACGGAACAAAAGAAAGATGAAAATGTAATTGCAGACGAAACGTTAAATTGTTTTTTTAAATAGACTATAAGTATATTTTGTATACAACGTTACTTGTACAATAAAAACAAATATTTTTCAATGTAATTATTCACTATTATATTATCGACGCATGTTTAGTTTGAAACAATTAAACCTAGTACCTTAGTCACTATAAACTAATATGTAAAACCGTGCTTGATTTAAAGCTAATGTAGACAGAGCCCTAACTTTGGTTCTGGACAGCGTTAAGTTTTAATTTATTGGCAAATTCGAGACAGAGATGAGAGCCTCCTCAGAAATTTGGAGTTTGGGTCCTAGAATTCCTGGGATCCATAGTTACTAGTTAATATGGACTTGATTAGAGTACTCTTTAACATTTTTAATGTATTGCTCGAATTTTGTCTATAATTCTTTGAAGAGGCACCGAACGTGTAATTAAAAAAAAGTAAAATAGGATATATTAAATGATAATAGAATATTTAGGTTCTTTTTTATCTATTTTTCGCGACAACTAGTAAAGTCCTTATTATTTTATGGGAAGCCATCTCGTAAGAAAACAAAGACTTTACCTCTTGGTGAGTATAGTCTCATATTATGATGTCGTACAAAAATTGTAATTTCCTTTAAACCACAAAAAAATACCCTATTATGAGCGTAACTAATAATACTTTTTAAAACCATATGTTTAAAATATCGCAATTATCTGTTTACTTTTCAAATAAAACAGTTGCTTGACACATGCAATCGAATGTTTATTTGATGCATGTTTTTTTTTAACCGGTTAATTTTTTTTATATCATCAAGTAAGTATAAATTATGTAAGATGGATTTTTTTAATGGAAACAAAAAACATTTACCATGTGATCAGTACGATGAATATAAAAACATTATAAATCTATAGATTTTTTTCATGAAGGAAATTACAATATTTGTACGACATCATAATATGAGACTAATGCACCAAGAGTTAAATTCTTTATTTTCTTACGAGATGGCTCCCAACTTCCACCTAGCCAACCTACCTTTATCGTACCCCTACTCGTGTAATATGATTTTTGGACTTTTGCGTCTCTTGATCTAGGTGTACATCAAAATTATAAATGGCGCCCATATAATTGTCTATTTGAACAAACCTTAAGAAAACTATGAATTTCTAAATACGGTTACGTTGCTATGTCGGCTAAAGAAAATTTGGTAGCTAGTAATTATTATCGTGAAGACTCAATAGCCTAATTAACGCCTACCTATCTGTAAACTAGAACCCGACGAAAACCAATGAACGATGTCTATTCATTACCGCGTCTATCACAGCATCGTCTAAAGTTGGTGCTTCGACATTCATTAATGATCACATGGAATTCAGTTGAACTGTGAACAGTTATCATCAATCACCATTAGGTACCGGGACATAATGTAAAGTAATATCCGAATAGTTTTATAATAAT